TTCTTCTCTCCTCCTCTCCTCCTCTCTCTCTCTCTCTCTCTCTCTCTCTCTCCCCCTTCCCCCTTTTTGCAAATGAGCCGAGCAATCGAGCTCGTTTCGTAATTCAACAATTCGTTCTCTCTCCCCCCTCTCCCCTTTTTTTTAATCCTTTTTCCCCGCCCTTTTTTCAATTTTTACTTTTCTATTCTATATTGATCTTTCTTTCCTTCCTTCCTTTTCTTCTCCGATTTTTTTTTTTTCGTTAGAGAGAGAGAGTTTTCCCGCGTTCATAAATATTTCACGAACATTTCTCTGTTGAGATTATAAAATTATTTCGATGAAATTGGGTAAAAAAACTTGTCTAACTTCTCGAGAAAGAAAGGTTCGTCGGATCTGTTTTATCCTCGAGATTCCTTCTTCGGAATTCGGCGATATCGTTTCGTTGGTCCACGATGAAAGGGAAGAAGTATCGGGGGAAAGAAATTTCGATAACGTAATCCGTGTTTTTATTACGAGCATATATCGAAGGGAGAAAAGGGAATCCTCTTATCGCGAGGAGGAGGGCATCTTGGAAATCGGGAGGAAGCGCGACAAAGAGAGCTTAAGCTCCGATTTGTTGCCCGAGATTACGAGGTTATTACGGGCCATCTTGGCCATGCTTCTTCCACCAGTGATCTCTCGTGTCGAAAAGTTGTGTCGTCGATCCCTGTCGCGATTTCGATTCGAGAGATTCGTCGTTAAGATTTCGATTCTTCTTAAAACAAAATAGAATCTTTACTCGATCGTGCATACATTTTCGAGTGTTTGTTCGATTGATTGTTATAACTTGAGTGCTGTTGGTGAATATAGACCCACGATTAAACGTTTGTTGGCAATTAAGGGGTTGAACTTCAGCAACTGAACTTCAGTTTCTTCTTACTTTCTCGAGTGTACGGATTATTAAATCTGCTCAGTCTCGAGTTGCGAGCCTCGTAGTAAGTAAGTAATATTCGCTTGAATGTGGGATACTTGTGAATTTATCCGATATTTTTCGAACTTTCGTTTAATCCCTCTGTTTAAAGTCAAGAGGAATCGAAATTTCGGAATCGCGTCAATTTTGAACCTATATCCATAAACGAATAGTCTTAAAAGAAAGAATCCGCTGTCGAAAACGCTTCCTTTCGAAAAGGAAGAAACCGAACAAGAAAGACGAACGAAACATCAAAGAACGTCAAAGTGGACACTGATTCGATTCCCCATCCGTGAATCGCAATTAACAGATTGCACGAGGATCTCGTGCAAACTCTCGTTTCGCTTTCGACAGGACAGGAGAATGGGGAGGGGGAAAAAATATCTAGATAAAAGAAAAACCTCGGTAGCTAGTAGAATAGGTCGACGAAAAGACACGCGCTTAAGAGAGGGCGTAAATTGAGAAAGCAGTCCGAATTTATTAGCCTATAGACGGAGTAGATCCAAAGAAAAAAGAAAAAAAAAATTAACAAAACAAGCGTAGAAAGGAAAACTCGAAAGGGGATTAATAGGATTAATTATTGAAATTGAAATTAGAACAGACGAAAAAGAATATCTAAAACCTAGTAAAGAAACGAACGAGAAAGAGAATAGCGTGAGAAGGCATGGAGCGAATGTTTTGTGAGCGGAGAGAAGCAGATGAAAGGAAGAGAGAAGCGAAAAAAGGTATAAGCGTGCACGGAGCGAGGAGGAAGTAGCGGAAGGAGTGGAGATACGTGGAGAGAAGGAGGTGTGCGAGATAATGCGAGAGCCGCATCGCTCGGAGTGACGACGCCCCTTATCGTGACAAAAGCACCGTCATTGCGTCGGTTGCAGGTGTGGTTCAGTAATCGCAGGGCGAAGTGGCGTCGAGAGGAGAAATTACGGAACCAGAGGAGGGCCGCTGTCGATCAGGTAGTCGGCGGTGGCAGCAGCGGGGGTGGAAGCAGCACAGCGCCCCCGGCCGCGACCCCTGCCACGCCACGGTTACCCTTAAACGCCGGATTCAACGCCATGTACTCGTCGATACCGCAGCCGATCGCTACGATGCCCGACACTTACAGGTAAGCTCGTCCTGTCACCTCCTCCTCCTCCTCCTCCTCCTTCCTTTTTTGTGTTTCTCGCCTGCCTTCGCCCAACCTCGTGCGTAGTGGAGGGGGAAGGGGGGCAGGGAAAGTTCTTCCTCTTCGAAGAAGTTTCAGTCGTTTCGAAATATCACGATATTTGCTGTTTGGGTGAAAGGATTATTAAATGATTTGGCGATGGGTTTGGAGAATTTAATTTCGAATTTGGGGGAGGAGTGGGTTGGAGCGAACTCATCCTCTATTTTTTTTAATGTTATCATGTGTGTGTGTATATATATATATTTTTTTTTATATTATAGCGATTTAGTTTTTTTTGAGAATTGGAGAAGAGTTTGATTCGTCCTGTGGAAATGTTAAAATAATTTTTCGTCGATTGTTTTCCTTTTTTTTTTTTTTTGTTTTGTTTTTTATTTTTTGGTGGCTACACATGTCAAAATGGAGTGACAATGTAGTGCACGGTAACTGTGACCCATTGTTTAAAAAGATTTGGCAATCGAGCTGCGTTTTAACCGAGATTGCATTGTTGCGGAGATTACAGGATAAGAGAGATATCAAAAGGTTCGAATTTAAATTTTCCTAAACAATTTTTTAAATTACGTTTCTTTTTTTTTCTTTTTTTTTTTTTCTTTTTTACATTCGACATTTCATTGATTCATTGAAAATTCGTATTGTGTAATAAATGATAAATGATTGGCCTTCGTGTCGAAATTTTAATCCTCCTAAAAGCTTATACATCTTCATATCCATAATCCAGAAATCTCTTTGATACGAAATATTTATTGAGAGCAAATAAATTGTGTAAAAATCAAATTCGAGTGTTATATTATAGATTCATTAAGTTATTGCGACAAACGTGGCACGAAATTCTTCCACGCGAATCTTTGAAACAAATGTTTTTTATATACCGATAATTTGTTGTTTTATCCTTTTACCATGTTTCGACGTGGAGAAATGAAAAAAAAAAAAAAAAATTGTATCTTTCGAAACTTTTCCTTCGCGCGAACCTCTCGAAAAATTTATTAACGTCTTTCAAAACGAATAAAAATTAAAAGTCATAATTTCATCAAATCGTCGCCACTTTTGAAAGAAATATCAATAGCTGTTTAATCTTATTTAAATTTTATAAAGTAAAGAAAAAATTAATAATTCTAATCCTTCAACCAATATTTATAATACTTGCAATTATTACAACGAACAGACAAAACTGGAACTAAATTTTCAATTTCCTAGGAATTCAACAATATTTTTTTTTATCAATATTGCATTGTAAAATCAATTTTTGAATGAATTTTTTAATTTAATTGAGAAAAATCCTTTTAAAATAATATTACATTCTATTCGGAAAATTTGGAATCTATCCAAAAACCTTGATCAAACATCTTGATCAAAATTTAAATTCTTTAATTCTTAAATAATTCCAAACTTTTGATCAATAACAAGATTCGATCCTTTCACAACGATATATATTATCGATAAAAAATTTGGTTCAAGAGTTTCCAGATTAATTGAATCATCAAAACTATCGAATTTCGTATTCTCAAATTCGAAGATCCTTTCAGAACAATATTTCATTATCGATAAAAAAATTTGGAATTATCTGCTCCAAAAGTTTCCTAACCTGATTAATTAAAAATCAAATCCCACGAAAAACCCACCAATTCAAATTCGATCGTATTGGAAAATACAATTCCAAATTTTCCGGCAATTAAAAAATAGATCATACTTGTTTGTTGCGAACGAATTCTGATCCGAACGGGTTCTCCCGTTACTCGGTTACGTTGGCAGCTCGATGTCGAGCAGCTTGGGCGGGTCAATGGGTGGAAGCTGTCTTCAGCAGCGCGCCGAGGGATATCCGGCGTACGTGTTCCACGAGCCCCTTCACTCGCTGACGCAGTCTTACTCCCACGCACACAGCACTGCTGCGCATTCGCAACCCCATCGCGGTATACCGACCTCTCATGGTGGAACCCCCACCACGCCAGGAGGACAGCCTGCAGGACCAGGTGGTGCGCCCTACCAACCAACCACCTCCACCGCCACCGGTGAGTTTCCGCTTTAAACGATTGTTTGTTTGTTGTTCTTGTTCAATCTTCAAGGCCGCCTCCCCCCGCTTCGCCGTTTAACGCTGATCAAGGTCGGCGGTACACGAGAAGGCGAAGATGAAACAACTTCTTCGTATCTGGGAAAAAACCTTCAGAGACGACGACGACGATGATGATGATGATCGAGGAGAAGAGTGGTTTCCCTTAACGCTTCGATCGGTGTTGGACGAAGCAGGAATTTGATTTTTCGTTTTTTTTTTGTAAAGAATATTTTTAGGGCGAAATTGTATCGAGTTTGCTGGGGTTGATTTTACTTTTTCGAAGGGACAATTCTAGTGGATACAAAAATTGATACTGTAAGTTCGTAAATTGAAATATAACGTAGCTCGTTATTTCGATAAAGGAGGATGATCTGATTGGAGAAGGAGTACTTTTTCGATGTTGGATCTGTTAAATTATTCGAGTTACTTCGTGCACTATTTTTCCTTCTCATATATATGCTTTTCACGATGAATTTGTCCATTATACTTCCGCTTAAATAATTCTCATATTTTGCAAATGTGATTACCTCCTTCCATTTTCCACAAACAACGAACGAGGCAAGCAAGCGCATTCCTTTCGTTCGAGCTTTCAAGTTCTTCTCTCGATACATCGGTGGAAACCGGGTGGGGATGGAAAATTCCCGTCGCGGCGGCACTCGACGCGTGTCGTTTGCGGGAACACGGCGCTGCTCTCGTTTCTGCACCATTCAAACTCCCCGCTTGATTACTCGCACGTTCGAACGATGAAAAAGGATAAGCGTCTTCGCGAGGAGTGGTCCACTTACAGTTGCCGTGGCGGTCGACGCGAAGTTCAATGGGCGGAAGTTTGTTTCATCGGCGACGTGTTCGTGCGGGGAACCAAATAAATATCTCTACAACGAATCGTGTCTTCGTTTCTTTTCATTCCTTGATAATTGTTCGCCTGGATTAACAACAATGATGGACGGAAAATGAAATATTGGAATGGAATAGAAATCTCTCTAAAACGCGCCCACGTTTCTTTTTATTCCTTAATAATTGCTCGAGTACAGTTTGAAATGTTCAATCGTATCTTTCATTTGTAGTTTTCAGATTTTGAAGATCTCTTACTCGAAAATTGCAAACGATGAATAAATTCGATAAAATATAGGGAAACCTTTGTCCAACTATCGATCTTCTCTTCTCTCCTTCCTCGTCTTTCTCGCCTCGAATATTTCAAGATAAATCGGTTTTCCAGTATCCGATACTACGGGACGCGATCTAAATCCAAAGTCGGGCGGTAAACAGAGGCATTCTTATTCCCATCGAGAACGGTGTCTATCTATCTGCGATTCTGGGAAATCGATGGCCAACCTTTCCCTTCAAATTTCCAACCAATCTTCGCCTCACTCCCGACACCCTACGCGTCGATAGCAAAATAAAACGTCGAGTATTATCCAACAATAAGAACCTCTTTTCTTTCGATCCCGCCCCGTCTCAACAGGGGTCGTACCTACAATCCCTGAAAGATCGAAGGCGACAGAGAGAGAGAGAGAGAGAGAACGAACGCCTTGTACGCCTTATACGTCAGAGAATAAAAAAAAAAAGAAAGAAGAAAGAGAAAAAGAATAGACGAAAACGTGGTACAAGCACCACGTGGCCGCCCGTTCGGAATTGTAAAAGGATTTTAAAACAAATCTCGCACGGGCGCCAGCGGGCTCCCCGAATCGAAGAACGGGATGTTCGGTGGTTTTCCACCCACCCCTTCACCACCCGTGGCTGCTGAATTTTCCATTTTCCCCGATTCTCTCACTTTCCTCCTCGACTTTCCCTCCCCCACCCCACCCTTCTCGTTTAACGAAAACTGCGGAGGATCGACCCTCCCTTTCCCTCTCTGTCCTTCTCTCTCTCTCTCTCTCCCCCTCCGTCTCAACGTCTCATCCCCTTTCCCTCCGGTTCGCACCGTCTCCCTCCCCCCCACGGGCGGCTCTTCCTCTCTTCAGGGTGTACAGGGGGCGAACAGAGGATGTGGATGGGTTGGGTCTCGCCTCGGCTGGGCGAGCGCTCAATAACGTGCGAACCTAAAGGGGAGGAAATACGGGGGTGCGCGGCGTCGTACCTACAGGAATGAAGTGGAACGCCGTAGAATGGTGGAATACTGCGGTACACGCGCCGGCATTCCTCTTGTCTCCCCTCCCCCCCTCCTTATTCGATTCTTCCCTCTCCCCCCTCTTCTTCTTCTTCTTCTCTTCTTCCCCCCTCCCCCTCCCTCTCTTTAACGGGGCCCCCATTTCTCGCCCTTCTCTGTGTCCCCTCCGTTTTCTCTCGCTTCTTACGTGCGGAACGAGCCGCAACTTATCCATCATAATCGTTTCACGTGCACGAGCGCTGCTGCGACTTTCACTTGCCTCCTCCCTCTTTCCCCGATGTCTCTCGCTTTCGGCCCAATTCGTTCGTCCTTACTTGGATCTGTTGGAAATATTGGCTGTTTTCACACGGCTGTTTGGTGGAATAAAGATCATAGAGATTTCGTCCAATTATCCCTTCGAATCAACTTGATTCAAATTATTCTCACAACCTCCTCCGCAAACGCCGACCAATCAATAATTCTTCGATATCCCCTCGACACGTCGAATCGTCTCTCCAACCTTATTCTCTCACCTCCACCTCCCGAAATTCGAGAAACGAATAACGAAAGAGTATATCATGGTTCCCCTTACAGGAAGGCCCTATTTCCTTATAGGAACAATTTAAAACACTAAACCTACCGACATTTCACGTATACCTATTCCTACCGCTGCAAGAAAGCAGCATTTGTATCTTATGATATAGAGAAAGAGATTTTAGCTGATTGGATTCGTAAGGTAAACGATAAAGAAAGTTGTGAATATTGAAAAATGGATACAAGAAATTGTAAACGAAACGGTCATTTGACCGCGTAGGTTCACTGTTAAACGAGGAACACGTTTGAATGGTGTTTCCAGGCGTGATATCGGCCGGCGTCTCGGTCCCGGTCCAGATCCCGTCTCAGACTCCAGACCTGACAGGCAACTATTGGCCGAGGCTCCAGTGATCCCAGCTCTTCGGGTTCCCGCCCGCGAGCCTGCTCGTCGGCCAGGAGAGCCCGCCGCCACCGACAGCCACCCCGGGTGCAGTGTCCCGGCCGCTGCTCGCATCCCTCGGGATACCGACGCAGCCAGCGCAGCAGCATCAACCAACGAACACGCCGGCCACCACTCCCGTGCACACGTCCGACACCAGTGAGTGAACCTCGATCAATCAATCCCTCTCTCAACGCGCTTTTCTTACCGGACACGGCCATACGAATATACACGAAAAGTAGGAGCGGCCAGGTACGACGAATCGCCGACCACGATCACTTGCGTTCAACGATGTTTGCGACCAACAGGATGATATCTCGAGTGGGCTGCACCTCTTTCTCTCTCTCTCTCTTTTTTGGGGATTTTTCATCTTACCTTCGATTCTATTTCTTTATTTTTCGTCGAATCATTCCATGTGTTAGTTTTTTTTTTTTTTGCATTCTTTCAATCGCGTGGGACGAATTCGGGAAATTTAAGGAAATTTAAAGGGGGAGCGGATGTTTCGAATGATTCGAAGATTTTGAAGAGGTTTATCAAATGGAATATTAAATTAGGTGGGAGGATTAAATTAAGGGGAAAATTCGAAGAGTTTGATAATCGTAATTGTTGCTTATACTCGTCCGTTCTTTCGCTGTAATTAAACGCGAAATATATATTGCATACGTTTGTAAGTAATATTTTCAATGATATTTTACAACGCATTGCATCGAAAGTACCTAATTCAACAATTTTGATTCCCCTAGGAACGTATGCAATCGTATTATACATAATCCTCGTAATTATTTTTATTATAAATCTATAAAATTTAATCGAAAAGAAATCACAGCGAAAGAGTTTGAACGAATGGCGTGTAACATGTTAAGGCGCAACAGGAGTTTGGAAAGGAGAATAAAGGTTAACGAGTCCCACGCTTTAATTCGATTAATTACTCGTTGGAGACTTGCCAAATCTCGATAACCAGCGGACACTGTTGATAGCTATTTTCGGTCACAAGAATGCTGCACATCCTCGTTCAATGTTTGCGATTACCGGGACAAACCGTTTTCATTAATCCGCGACTATTATATATTCATTATTTTTCATCAAATCGTTTTAACAACGTGGTTTTTCCTACAACGAAAATTCTTTATTTTTCGTACATCAAATCGTGTATTTTCACACAAACCTACTTTTTCCCCTTGCACAAATTTCGTACAACGAAAATTCTTTGTTTTCAACACAACGAACGATTCATTATTATAATCGAGATTACTTTTCCTCGCAAATTTTTCAAACGTTCGTTCAAGAACGAAATATCCTCTCGAGACGACGAACGCGTGTTGTCAACGACGTTGAAGGAAAAATCGCACTGATCGTGATCGCGCGACGATTCTCGTTCCCTTCGTTTCACGCGTTTAATCCTAGTGGTCGTAGACGTATACGCATGACCCGGGTCACGCAGGGTATAATATTATCCATCTACTACTCGCGACAGTGTACAAATCAACGCGCACCGGCGTCGAACATGCTCGTTAGACGATCGAACCGCCACTGATGGATGGAATATTTATACGGCGATACAAATGTATACGATACAATAGCGAACGAACGTCGATTATAAATACGCGATATATAAATATCATCGTATATGAATTGTCGCTTTTGTATCGAGGTTGTACGTCTATTGAATTAACTTTTTTGTTAACTTTATCAAATAATAAGTTTGATATAAGGAAAATAAAAATAAAAATTTCTCTGCTTGTAATAAAAAAAAAAAATGATCACTATTTGTTAGATAGATAAGAGAAAAAAAAATTTATAAATATTATCGATAGACGAATTGAAATAGTACAATGAGAAAGAAAGAAAGAAAAAAAAAATTATTATCTTCGCGCGCTTCTTATTCCAAAATATATTTTTTAACGTTTCGATATTTCACGGAGGACGTAAAAAGAAGAAAAAAAAAAAAAACAAATATTCTCGATTCCTTACTCGATTCAACGAATCGTCGAATTTTAATATTAAATTTTTAACGTTCTTAACGATATCGATCGACGCCGAAATAAAAACCTTTTTTTTTTCTAGAAGATGGTTTTTCGTTATTAACGAATTCGATAGACGAAAATTTCTCAATATTATCGATCGAGGAATTATTTATTTTACTTCATCGTCGATATCGCGTTAAAAATTTCCTGATCGATGGCTCGAGAGAAGTGTTTTATCGAATTTTCCACGCGTAGAGCTGTTGTACGCATGACAGAAGCGAAATTTTCGAGGGATCCGAAGACGGACGGAGGCGGGCATCCGCTGCAAATATTCTCGCGAGACTTTGGGGTGGCTCTGGCCAAGCCTTTGTAAGGGTGGGAGAGGATTGATAGCTGCCTCGAGGGTGGCTTTTTTCGCCGGCCATCACGCTTGCGAGCAGATATGGCGCCGGCTGACAACGTCTCCTCCTTCCTTTCTCGAGTCGAGAAATTCGACCAAACTGGATATATATATATGCTTGCAAAACATTCCTTCTTCTTCTTCTTCTTCTTCTTCTTCTTCTCTTTTTTGAATATATTTCGTTTCCATTCGTGTAGTTGGGGAATCTAACTTTCAAATATTTCATTTTCATCCTCGAATGAAAATCGATTCGAAAATCTTCTGCAATGGCTAGAATACTTTTTCCATCTTCAATTTTCGAGTGAAAATTTTATTCGTTTGATCAATTAATAATGCAACTTTCGATCGATTTTTTTCTCTTCACTTTATTTCATCATTTTAAGTAATTTTATTTGCTCTTCGTTTAACATTAGGATCATCGAAAATCCGATTGGATCAAATTTTAATAATTATTTAAAAATTTCATTTTGTTATACAACAAAATTCTCGAAAAGGAAGTAAAATATCTGGCGAAATGTTCACTCGAATTAAACGCCAAGTTTGGCTCGAACGAAATTTTAAATCGATCGCGGTTGTCGTCTCACGAGCCTCGTTCAGACGCAGGCGGAACGCACTTCCGCAGGATTCGCTCAAACTAGGTCCTCGGGTAATCCCGTTAAGAGCGCCTCTTTCTCCCGGACCTTTGCGAAAGGTTCAAGGATACAGCGCGTTAGCTTTAGAATTCCTCCTTCGAACAAGAAAAACGTGTTTCTCAACTCGCCTCTTTTTACCCTCCATCTCTCTCTTCTCGTGCTCCACCAAGGACACCACGAATTCTCGAACGAGAACGTTCTCTGTATATTTCTCACCCTTTTTTCACCCCCTCTCCGCTCGATCCTTAGATTAAGACAATCCGTAGTTAAATAAAACTAGAAGGAGATAGAGAGAGAGGGAGAGTGTCTCATTTGCAGTATATATATATATATATTATATACTTACTACATAACGCGTTTGTTAGAAGCACAAGACACAAGGAGGGAAAAAATCGTATCGTTTATCGAGACGAGAAACGGGGCGAGTTTCGACTCGTTGAACAGAAAATGAAACTGTCCTCTCTCTCCTTTCTCCTCCTCGCGCCTTCCTTATACATATATATATATATATTCGTGGACAGTTTGCTGGTCGATCCAATTCTTGTATAAAGGCGACTTGTAAAATAGCATTTGTTATACTCTTCTTAGCCCGTAAACGTGTAAATTAGAGAGGAAGCATTTGGCAAAAGCAAGTGTGTATATATATATACGTTTAGGGAACCGAATCGATGACACGTTCGATCGACGCGTTGATAAAGCGATGATGAAACAAAACGCAACAAAAGATTAACAACAAAACACGGAAGCAAAGTGTGTATTCGATGTATTCTTCTTCCTTTTTTTCGAAAACGAACGATCGACCGTCTCGATTGAACGAGGAGGAAGAGGTGGAGGACGGAAGGACGGTCGATCGGCGATTTTCGAACACCAACCGCATTTATTCTCATTCGTTTCCGCGCAATTGTCGTCGCCATCTTGTTATTATACGTTATTCTTCTCGTCGCACTTCGAACGCGGATCCTTGGCCACGCTTGGAATGTCTTGGAACGGACGATCTCGAGAGAACAACGATCACACGGTGTTCTCTTCCTTCAGTTTATATTTTATTTTTTGAGCGAATCGTGACAACATCTTCATCCTCGTATATATGTTTTTTTTTTTTTACAATTTTTCTACGATATAGTGGATAGAAAAATTGTAGAAAAGACAAGTATGTGCAAGGTAAGGAAAGATTAACACGAAGACTTTGACTGTGAGTGAAAGGGGATGATGCAGGTGGGATACGTTAATGTAATTTAACAAAAAAGTAAAAATCGCGAGTTAAAAGATAAATAAAAGTGGCGATTTTATTCGGAAAGAGTCGGAAAGGAATTTTTTCGGCCTCGAGATTGATTCGTTTCACCGATCTGGCGACTCGTAATGTCGAAGAAATCTTAAGGCCGTTTGATAAATTTTAATTTTTTTTTTTTAATTGCGTGATTTTTATATAATCGAGATTTAGGAAGAAGGAATTATTATTATTAGGTTAATGGTTGAGTTTCTTTGTTAGAATTTTAATTTAGCAATTTAGTTGGGAAAGATTACTTAAATATACGAGATAATACTGTTTGGTGCTCGAATAGAAGGTAATTTAGCTCGTGTTTTAATGCGAAATTTAAGAAATTTGTTATGTAATACGCGATGTGCAATATTTCGTGAATTTTAAAAAAGATCGGTGACAAAAGCGGTTCTTTTGTAAAAAGTTGTTCGAAATTTCTGCCACTTTATCAAGATTTCTCGATATGTTGAAAGTTGTACACCTCACAAACGTAAGAATCCTTTCACTTTCTTTCATTAGCCTTAAATTAATTCCGACCTCAAAATTCCCTCAACTTTTCTCACATCGTAAAAAAAAAGAAACCACGCAAAGTAAAAATAAATAAAATCCAACGCGACAAAGTTCGAGCTGAAAATTAATGGCCACGAGAATCGAGAATTTTTCTCTCCGGATCGATGGAACGATGAGAATCTCGGATCTCCAAACTTTCAGCGAAAATAAATTTTCATTGCCACCGCACAGTTACACAGACGTCACAACGCGTTCGTCTAAAGCACGCGCGCGCCACGTGGAAAAGTGGGAAAATTACGGCACAGGGTAATTCTATATATATATATATATGTAGACACACGCGATGCTGCGCTACCTCAGAGACAAGGCTTTTTACGCGATATAAAATTTCTAATTAATCGCATTAGCGTGGTCGAAAGTGGAAGGACGCGCAAGCGCGACCGCGAAAACCACTCGAGAGATTTTCGCGACATCCGTTTCACGCGGCTCACCGCGATAAAACGGCCGACCAACTACCCCGTAAAACACGCGTTTCACTCCCCCTCCGTTTCCCTCCTCTCTGCTCGCGGAAAGCTTATCTGGAAACCGAGCGGTATCGCGTCTTCGAGGATTGCTTCGTCTGGAATAACGCAGCGAATCGATCGAGTGAAGAATCATTGGGTGACGTGTGAGAATGATGGAGGAAGTTTATATGTGGTTGAAGAAAAGTTGAAGATTTTGCTTGGAAGTTGGACAAGCGTTGTTCAAAAATTGAAATTTAAAGTAGGCGGAAGAATTATCGAAATTAAATTCTAATATTAATGGAACAGAAGTTTTCCTTTATGTTTTGTTGAACATAAAAGAAAAGATGGAATGAGGATGCAAAGGTATCGGTGGATCCAAGTGGAATCGTTCAAAAAATTACCAAGCAGAAAAATAATTAATAGAAGAAGATAATTAATGCTATTTCGTTTTTTTTAACAATTATTCGCGTACGATTCGTATTTGAATTTTTATTTTCGATTCGTATTTTTGATGCAATATTGAATCGAATAGGCAACAACTTGAAACTTCGAAAGCCTATGTTACAGATCGTCAGGTTGTCGTGGAAGTTTTAAAGGGGTTAAAATGAACGAGATGTAAAGGCTACGCCATCGTGATTAGCATGATCGATATATATATATGTATATCCAAGGATAACAAAACGTTTTGTTTTTTACTTCAGCATCGAGGATAATTGAAATTAAATTTTAAATACGTGCACAATTTATTATTTCAGCAATCTTCAATCCGATTAAATTAAAATTACTTCGAGCCAAAACGTGTTTTATAAATACCACCTATCTACTACAACTTTCGTCAAAATACAATTATTATACAATCCATGCTACTAATTATTATTGTAAAATTATTTTAACGAGCTTCAACTTTCGTTTATCTCAAACAAATTAGATAAGTTGCAGAAGATTTGCCGGACACTTGTACAAATTATATATTTATAAATCAACGTTGTTAACAACATTTGTAAAAAATACGGTATCACGATATTTCACCATAACGATCTTCTCGTATTAAACCTTCCGATGATGATCGGTCGTCGCAAGAATCGCCGTTCCAAGACTACCTCCAAGGCCCACATTTCGTTCCCTTCGCCCGAGCATATACTCCTCGAGCATGTGTATATGAGTGTTACGCAACAAGCATCCGTTTAATTAGAATCTGCGATAAAAAAAAAAAAAACAAGCTTCTCCTCCCTCGAGAAAAATATGCTTTTGTGCCGAGCAATTACAACAATCGCGTTATCGTCGAGTCTCTCTCTCTCTCTCTCTCTCTCGTCAGTAGGTGACGAGCTAATAACGATTTGTCAACAGTCAATAGGATAATTTAACGATAATATTATGCGTCGAGTCGCGTAGACGAGGCACGTACGAGAAGAATAAAAAAATAAATAAATAAAGTAAGGATAAACCGTGTTCCGTCTGTTAGGAGGGGAAGACGCAACGTTTCCTACGATGTCGACACGCGGCGCAAGCTGCTGGTGTACCGCAATTCGTTTGAACGTTTTCTACGGCGAACGGGGATTGTAATGTACATTAGTAAATTTATATTTTTGGATGAAGAAAAAACAAAAAAAAAAAAGGAAAAAAGAAAACTAAAAAATGGAACAAAACAAAGAGGACGCAACGCAAGGCCGAATAATTGGCCGAATTAGGGGCAAAAAAAAAGAAAAAAAAGAATCGCGCGCGCCGCCATTTCTGTCGATTCTCCCATCGGTCGAGAGGACCTCGATTTTCTCGACGTCGTACACTTCGTTCGGATCCGCACGGACCACTTCTGCGTTCGCGATATATTTCATATATATATATATATATATGTATAAAATATATACGTATAAGGGAACCAAAGGTGTTCGTGAATCGTTACCTCCGATTTTTTTTCACTTTTTTTTTACTCCTCTCGAATTTTCGAACAGACGTTTCGAAATGTATGTATTTCTCTCTTTGAATTTATTTTATTCGAGTATTTTTTTTTTTTTTTCGTTAATTTTGAATTTGAATCGTGTCTGTGAAGTAGTTTTTTTATTGGATTTTCTTTTTTTTTTTTTATTTCATTGGAAGAATATCGTACCTCGATAGAAATATAGAAACGAAATGAAATTGAATTTCGAAAGGAATTTCTGTAAGATTACAGAGGGCGCCAAAAGATTTATTACAAAAATGGTGGCTTCGTCGAGTTTTAGTTTTTTAGTTTTAGTTAGTTATTTTTTTTTTTTTTTTGGCCGAATTTTATCCTTCCTCGCTAAGATGAAAAATATGCTTGGTGAAAAATAATACGTTGACATGTACGTTGTATAGAAGAACAATCGACGATTTTTATGGAAAGTCGTGAAAATATTTATAATACACACAGAAATGGAATTTGATGTTGGGTTCGTTGCCGCGTAAATTTTTATCTCTATTTTGTTTGTTGTTTTAATAAATTGCACGTTTAAAGGCAAGTTCCATTTCAGTGATGTTATTGAAAAAACGTGAAGATGAAGATGAATGTCTTCGATTCACATCACGAACGATCCTTGTGAATCTTCGACGGACCGAGGGCGGAAGTGGTCACGCAGTTTTTCTTATTATCTGTAATAATAAATACTGATAACGAATACAGTGTATGAGTATTAACAAATTTATTAACGAGAATAATATATTATTGCGACAGTAATCTACGTAAGTGTTGTGAATAATGGAGATAATATTGTTGCTGTGATTACCTTTAAGATTGTAAGTAGTAGGATATAGAAAACCACTGTTAGGTGTCACTGTCTCGATTCAATAAATGTTATTTCATTTTAATGACAACGCAAAGTCATCTGGCATTTTTTTGTTCAACAACACTTCGAACCTTTCATCGTTATCCTTTGGATCCTTTTATATTCCGAGTGCGTTTACACGTGCTGTTAAAAATTATTGAATTATTTATACGTAAACTTTTTTTTAAGCGAATAAAAGTCTACAAAGCAATTACAAATCATTTAATTCGAAACGCTATTTTTCATTGCATAAGCAATATTTTATATTTCAAATTAATTCTATTTTTCTCGCTTTTTTTTTTTCTTTTTTCTTGTTTCCGATTTGGATGGAGAGCTCAACGTTCGATGCCTTGCTTGGTTACATTCAACCGATACAAGCGAAATAATTGCATTGTTTACTTCATTTTCAAATATTTGAATAATAAACACTTTACTTTTAGGTTTTAGCTAGTGAAGAACGACAAAACAAAGGACAATATTGAATAAATGAGAAATTAATATTTATGCTTTTATTTCTTTCATATTTATTATTTGAAGATATTTATCACGTGTGTTTCGAAAAATATAAAAAGAAATAAAAATCTAGAAAAAATTTGGTCAATATTAAGAAATGATTATACGTGATAAGAGAATTTATTTTTTATATTTATATTACAGTGATTGATAAGTGGAAGGAATAATATTTTTACAAATATTTTTTTAAAATAATCATATTATATTTGAACATTTGATTATGTACATTCGATTTTAATGTATATGCTTATTTTACTTTTTATTATTTTATTAAAAAAGTTAAAATTATATTTGGTATAAAGCAATTAGAGCAATTAAAATTAATTAAAAAAATATGCAAGATTGTCACTCAAGTATTATCTTTGATGTATTGCATTACAAAATGTCTCTGATTGAACTGAGCGATATCTCTGAAACGTTATTTAATAAATATAAAACCATAAAATATGAACGTGCATTAAATGTAAAAATTTGTTTACATTCTTTTAAATATAATATATACATATATAAATACCCAAAATCTAATCCTTGTTAATAAATAATGATAAATATATCTATAATTGGTAATTATATCTGGATCTGTTGTAATTAATCTATCTGGAACATCTATCTGATTCCGCAATGGCGTTCTTTCCGTCATTGTTTCTGTCGGGTTTAATGATTCTCGATTTTGCCAATGTTTATAAAAGTGATACACCGCCAAATAGATCCAGAATGCAATCAACCATATATCTGAAATCGTATTGCACACTGTTTCAGAACATTTTATTATTAACACGTTGTATTAACGATTCTGTATTTTATCAATATCAATATAATTAATATAATTATATATAAAATTTGAATAAAATAAAAATTCTCATCGATTCACATACAGTTTTTAACCTGTAAATGTTAACAAAACACGATACCCTTAGATTGAATCGGAGGTTGAACAATGGCTAGATTAAAATCCTCCACGGTTGCTCGCCTTACAATGTTTATCACGATATATTTCAGAGAAGAGCCAACCCAATAATCAATCGGCAGGATTATCGCGAAGGATGAAAATATGGAACACGTGAGGTGAGAAAAAGAGTAAAATGTCGCGACAAGTGTTACACTGAGAGCCAATGTCGCAAATAGTATCCAAAACACCGCATTGTTCTGCAGAAATGTAAATGAACCTGAAAGAAGAAAAAGAGGAAAGAGAGAATCGAAAATGAGTAATATCGAATAATAAATGCATTATCCTCGCGAAAATCTTTCACGAAATTCTCCTCTTACTTTTACTTGTGTATAATAAAAAACGAATATAAAATCTTCATAAAAAAAAGGAAAGGCACCAACGTCATGGAACAATTTCTTTTCCTTCGCCTTAATAACCATATTTCTTTTAAGTTTACACCGATAATCATTTCCACGTAAAAAAAGAAAAAACATACGTACGATTACATAAACGACGGAGAACAAACTGTGGCAAAGACGGTGAAGCGGGAGAGAGGATGATGGCCAACTCGATCATCTGCCGACGGAGGGAGGGGAGGGGGAGGTAGATCGGGGACCGATACTCTGTGCAGTTACGCATGCATAGACCGTGTAATCTAAATAGGTCTTGGAGCTAAATAAATACGGGGGACACAATTAGGTAAATGCGAATCTTTCAAGCTGGTTAGATCGGCTCGTGAGAGTTGGGGCCTGGTCTCGAGCTCTGTGTGTACGTGCCACGATTTTTATTGTGTTTACGCGTGTATGCGGGGGACGGTGGAGGGTGGTTATGGTGAGAAAGGTAGGAGGTAACGCGAATGCTGTGGGGGATTCGGCAGACGAAGTTTCCACATGAGCGGGCAACATTGATAAAAGCTACAGGGGGACTCTCTGACTGTACTTCATCCCTTCGCCAAACTCGAACTAACTTCGGGGGCGGTGAGCTCTCTCTCGCTCTCGTTTCTGCTGCCTCATCCCCCTTTCTTTTCGCGTTACTCTCCTCTCGTCCGCTTTTAAGCCGGCTTCCATTATTTTCCTATAATTTACTACAACCCCTGCTGATCTTTCCTCAAGCGTTGACACGCACTTGAATCGCTTTTCGGATACGTTCCACTATTATCGGCATTTCGTACGTGTCCTTGAAGAGATGCCAAGCCTCTTCCGTACCTGGGGAGTATAAGTAAGCAACGCACGCAAAGAACAAGCCCAGAGTCGTATTGACAAACAATACGCTGTAAGGACGTTCTGCGGAGTATGGGCATATTAACGACAACAGGTTGAAGAGCAAACCTATCGCCAGACCAGTTATAACGCTTCCTGAAACAAACGGGATAGTACAATGTATGGTATAATATTGTATTCAATTGTATTTAGCTTTTGTCTTTAATTTTGTTGGTTTTTTTTCTTTTTTTTCCAGACAAAATGTACAGCGAATGTGTCCAGTAGTAGACAAATCCGCCATTGTATTTAACTTATAACGTTGTTACTTTTTTTATTATTTCGCTAAATTTTTGTAGAGTGAAAAAAATTGTATTGTTTTTTTTTTTTTTTAATTATATAATTTTATGACAAGAAGTGTGGGAAAAATAATGAAAACAGTGTCGTATATACATACCTTCCATGGCATATCCAATTACGGTTCCAATGAAAAATATAGGAAACATTTTTTCAGTTCTAGGGAAACGATGACCCAGGAATGTAAAAAATAATCCCAGGAAGAAACAAACGGCAGAAATAAACTTCAAAACACTCTCGGCTGAAAATAACGATACGATAGAACGATTAATTCTTTGGGTTTTTTTATATATATAAAATGTATAAAAGAAAAACATGATAATTGTTTTATATATACGATCTATGTATCATAATTGAGCTATCTCTAATAACATATTTCTAATCAATGATCAGCGATACATTAAATTCAACAAGTGATATCAATAATTAAAAAAAAAAAAAAAATAGAACTTATCATGTTTTTCTTGTTGTTATGGATGAAATGGAACACGTACATAAAATGTCACATGATACAGGATCGATTGCGGGATTACAGCTGTATGAAAATATCGGGACATAGGCCGCAGAATAATTTTCATAACTAGCCACTGCGGCGTAAACCGAGCCAACTCCGATATACGCGCTAAATATTCGTCTCATAGGAGAGAAATCAATGGAAGTCATTACCTAATATGGAAGACATTTTTATATTAGAATTGTTAAGCTTTGATTTATAAATATATTATTCGATGTATCCTGAAAATGTTTGAATATATCATACGATTACGGTGCACGTTTGATTAATTATGTATACAATATTGTTGCCAATAATAATAACTTAATATCATGTTTGTGTTTACTTTTGGCGTACAACGAACGATACATCAATTAATTAATGATTAATCAAAAGTACATTTTGTGAGTATAATTAGAATGATAATCATTATGTTTTGAGAGTACACACTATATAGTACATACGATATTTGTAAAATAGTGATTTGCAATAAAAATTAATCACTTAAATCTTAGAATATTTTATATTTTCGATGGATTGATGGAAATGTGGAAATGAAATTGATCGATAAATAATATTTTTGAAACGAATGTTTTAGAACGATCGAAAAATTTATCGATTTGATTGATGAATTTATTATTTTAAATTTTTCTTTACCTTTAATTGATCGATTATTTTCTTCCAATCTAATATTCAAAATACCTATTATTCACGATTCGTCCAGTGGAATAAACCTAGTTTTGAAACTAAATCTCGCTCTGAAAAATATATATACTGCAAACGAACGAATCAATCGAATTATTGAATCGATACTTTAATATGGATTTTTGCTTTGTCGTTATCAAAAAAAATTCAGATTCACCGCGAGTATAATTTTTATGCAATCAACTATCGTTGACTATCTTTTTAAAAAACACGCGTAATCTGTCAGATTTTTCTTCCATCAAGAAGTTAAAAAAATGAAAAATGTTAAACCTTTACTTTTAATTATATTATATTCAATAAAGTATCTATTATTTTCAAAAATAATTCTTTCATTTCTTATCCATATTTTCTAAAATCTCAATTTTCAGGAAAAAAACTCAAAGAACTTTAGACTTTAAGAATAAATAAATAAATAAACGCTATTATTCTCATCAATAATTAATTATAAAAATTAGATGATACCGAGATACCTTCGCTCCGTTATTCTTGATATCTTGCACAGTCAGCATGTTTACGATACCCATGAAATAAGTTTCGGCAGTGAGGTCCTGCTCGGGCAGGAACATCTGATACATCTCGACCTCCACCGACACATTTTCGCAACTCGAGTTGAAGGATAACGAGGCCGGTTGCACGTCGACGATCACCATCGTGTCGCGTGTCTGGATTCTCGCGTACGGCGCGATCTCGGTATTGAACTCCATGTTGCATCCACCCGGTATGGGTGCTGCAACGGAGAGAACAATGAACTGATGGATGGGATTGATCGTTCTTTTCAATGGGAAATTTATTATTCGAGCCCGCTTCGTGAAAACAGAAAAAATCAACGATATACAGGTTGGTCCGATTATCACTTTAGTGACCGCGATTGTAATTGGAAATATGAATGATGTTGAAGCGTATAGCGTGTTGATAGGGAATTTTTTTGGGACATGTCGATAAACAGAAGTAAAAGTAGAAATCTTTAAAGAATAGGTTTGATAATTTTAGATATAATATAGAGAGTAGAGTTTTATTGAAATTTTAAGGGATAGAAATATGTGAAAATTTATCAATTTTAATTATTATTTGGGAAATATGAAAAAAATTCTGAAATTTGTCATTAGCATGTATTTTTTTTTTATGCGAGGTATTAAGTATAATAATAAGAGAAAATACATGTAATATTCAATAATCATTTTTATTGAATACGTTTCTTAATTTAGCATTGTTGAAAGTATTCTTTAGGAAAATACAAGAGCTAAGGAATGTAGAGTTATTAAAAGGCATTTTTAATTCCTTTGTGTTGCGCGTTACCGATACAAATTGTGAATAAACGAGAATGAATGTGATAATGCTGAATAACACTTGAATATTGATGACGAATATTTCTTGAAAACATAAAATATTTAATAGGATTTAAAAATATATAAGTAGTAAAAAAAAAAAAAACAAAAATGTATAATTACTTTCAAATAAAGTTTTTTTAATTTTGTATAATTATCATTATTGCAATAATGGATCACCCTGTATATCGTTTAAAATGCAGAGTCTACAAAAATTGTCAAATCTGAATCAACAATTCATATCATAACATTTAGCTTAGCTTTGATAATTTGTGAACGAAATGAAAAATTAAAATTATTTCAATTTTGTATATAAGTAAAAATTGGATTGCACAGCAACGAACATTATTGATTTTTAGAGATTTAGAAATGCACCGATATAATGAAGTAATGATTCATATCGAGTCGTTTATTACGAGATAAGCTATACTACTCACCATTATTATTGTAAGCAATAACAACGAGCAGAGCCATAACATTGTGAACATTATCATTTTTGATGAATAATTGTGTCGTATCAGCGGTTAACTTAAAAAGAAGACCAATGTTTGATCCAAATATGCTTCTATTCGAAACTTTATTAAGATAATCTTTATCAAAAGATAGTGTAACATTATGTTGATAAATATGAATTTGAAAAATAATAAATGAAGCACTGGAGGAAACGTTTGTTACATTAAAGGTTGCTTTGCTATTTGCTGCAATAGATGCTTGTTTCATGTATGGTACCGTGTCATGAAGATTAGTTAACTTCATTTCAAATACACTTCCATCTGTAAAATGTATCGTACATTATATTGGACATTTTACAAAAAATTTTAATATAATGATTCATTATATTACATATTTCAAATAATTTAAAAGAATACTGTTGAGAAAAATAAATTAGAAGATCGCTGTAATTTAAATATTATTTATACGTACAAGAAGTCATCACATATGCTCTTTCTTTTGCAACGTTTCATCAACTTGTACATTTAAAAATAAAATTATAAAAATGTGTATATATATCTATAAATACAATTATTATATAATTTAAATATGTAATAAATTTATTAATTATTTTGACAAATTTAGCTTTTAAATAAATATTCTTTTTCATAGAGATTATTCTCTATAGTGGTAACGGTTTAATATTTTTCACTTATACGTTACATTTAATGTAAGTAATATTTTCTGATATAAGTATATTACACAAATATATACAAAATAAATATTATTACACATTTAGAATATTTATATATGTAATCATATATGATAATAAATATATATAAAATGTATAGCTACATTTGAAAATAGATATGTAATATAAAAATGTGTGTAGAAAATATATGTTCTTGAAGTAAAAATATATTTATTAATATTTTACTTTACATTTACACAATTATATTACTTATATGTACATTTATCTATTGTTTTACATTATCATTTAAATATTTTATTATAGATAATAAATAAAGAAAAAGTATAATTCTAAATAAAAGTGATATATTCATCCATTAAGTTTTGCATCTAATCGATAAATAGAAAAATAATATTATTTTTTATAGATTTATATTATAAATAATCTCATATTTATATCAATTCAAAACTGATTACACTGATTATTTATATCAATACATAATTGAAAAACAATCTAGTATTATTACATTTTTAAACGAATTACAAAATTTATTGTTTTTACATTTGAAATTAATTACGTTTAATAACGGAAATTTTTAATCGGCTTAAGAAAATATGTAAAAAAAAATTGTCAGGATACGCTATTGAGGTTATGTGCTTACCACCGAGAGACAGAATATTTGATAATACTTTCGTATCTAAACTGCCAATGAAGAATAACAGAAAGATCAGCAACTCTCCGACAAAATTGCGACTCATGTCGATCGGAGTTATGAACCGCGTGACACACTTATTCGATTAAATTGCCGCAAAACCGAGTCGGCGTGAAGCCACGGAAAATCAGTACGGCGCAACAGCTGGTACTTGACAGTCGGCTACATGCCTGAGCACGGTATACTTCGAGTCTCGGCTACTGTCGTTCTATCTCGCTCTTGAACAACCAATCATCGTGTGCCTGAATATTCCTTTCTCTGTCGCGCTATCGTGTGTTGCGAGTGTTTTGCGAAGTGACCGTAAGGTGGCGACGCAGTCGGCCCAAGATGGCCACGCTGGATCAATGAAACGCGAGTAATCATAGTAAAAACAGAAATTGACAAGTGTGCAAGTGAACACCAGACTTTGATTACAGTGTAAATGGACCATGGGGAAGGACCAGGAGCTGCTGGAGGCAGCGAGAAGCGGAAATGTCACCGTGGTCGAGAAGATTTTGGGTCAACGAGCGAAGAGGAGTGGTCCACTGGCAAGGTGGGTGTCACCATAGCAGACTTTGCTTTTTCTCGCTTCTTTTCCCGTTTTCGTATTCTACGTGGTGTTTCACATAATAGTTTTGCTTTCGTGCGCGTTATCTTGATTAGATTATGGGAAAAATAACTTCATTGTCTGTCAATTCATAGAGAAATGAAAGTTACGTGTCACGTTCTTTTAGAATCTCTATTCTGATGATTTGATTTCAATGATAAAGTGTTTATACATTGACTGCTGTCCCGATTGTTTCTTTTCATTTCATTTTTCGAATACTTCCTTGTTAGCTTTATTAATCAGGAACAACTGTGTTTTAAGCATAAACGAAATTAGATGAGTCGTTATACATACCGGTACCTGCGTTAAATTATCTACGCTCAATTGATCGCTACATTTTTCCAATTAATTCCGACAGTTTGCCAGAGATACTCGTGGATGCCGTCATTTGTACCGTTATACGTGGAATCTGTTCCGTTCGATAGTTTTCACATTAATTAAGTGAACGAACCGTATTACAACCAACAATATTGCATTGTTTAATAACAATATTATATATTATTATTTTTATTTTAACATTGTAATTATTTTATGTTCGTATATATACTATCCATTAATCGCTAATAGGTAACCAATTTTGTGTCTGATAATTGACAATTAGATTCATGATACATATTTTATGAAAACTGTAATAGCCATTGTTGAATGAAATTCTCGTGTTTTTCGAGTTATCTTTATCGAGCAAGGTTTAATAATCGGATATTTTTCTATGATACATATTATATAACTGTCGTGTGGAAATAAACGCGGACATCGTAATCGTATGATCATTTTCTTGACCATAATTAATTTTGCTCTGAATATCTATAGAGTAAAATAATATGTCCGTATGCGCGTGTTATCCACATTATTGTTCAGTGATTATTCATGATTTCACCATGACCATGAATCATTCTGTTAATATGTACATTATGTATATAATGATACATGTAAAGATGTGACATGGACATGCAACTGATTGCATTATCATTTATTAAAATTTGTTGTGAACATTCTTAACAAGAAAACTCAAAATTCTACATTAGAGGTATATTCATATGATTTTACGCATTAAAATTTAATTAAATCAATGATATAAAACTGAAAAAAAATTAGAAAGTTGACCCATGCGTCTGGAAACGAGAGTACATAAGTAAGTAATCACGTTTCTTCACGACTTATCGGATGCTGCTCCTTTCTATTTATGGGAGCAGATAAACAGGTTTATTTTGGTAGTGATTTATTTTCAAGAGTCAATGATAAACCTAATTTAAACATGATAAATTTGTAAAAATGGTTCATAGTATTTTTGTCTTTATCCTGTTTAAAGGATAATAATTTTATGAATTCTATTCTGCGTTTACGTTAATTGCATTTAAATTATTTAATAATCGTCAGAATTAAATTCGAAAAATTTAATTTTTTAGACAATGATATATTAATCAATTATATTCTTTTCTGATTAATTTATTGACTTAATACGATGAAAGCGAAATTAAATTTTAAATAACTTTTCATTTTTATTTTTATTTTTCATATTATATGATATTAAAAAGTATCTTTTTCTAAAAAATCTATGTTCCACGTATGCAATATCCATATATGAGAACAGTGAGTCCCACATTCAATTCATTCCAGAGCAAAAAATAACTTAGTCATCCTTCCGAGTTAGCATAGTTCGACCTAAAAAACGTCATTTAAATACTCATGCACGTGCTGGTAACTACTAACAAGCAACTTCCACATATAACTCGCGAATCAATTCACTAGGAATGTAATCGACTCGTCCGACAAATCACTGTCAACTTCTCTAATCGTGAACTCCGGTCTCAATCGAACTTCAGATTCGTAATAGATTCCTTCGCGAACTCGATCGGTAGGTCGAAGCGAATCGATCGATTGAAGAGTATGACTAATCGAAATGATCGATCAGCGGTCCCGCGTCTTTATTGACCCAGTCCCGTGAACTTCTCGACAAAGACGACTTTGTCGACGCTTCTCGCGCGCTTTCATTAATTAAGTCACGTTGGCTACGGGACGAGAAACCGCTGTTTGTTTTCGAGAGGTCTCTGCCGCGTGCTCGTGTAGAAGCAGGCGTGCGTGCTTGGAGTGCATTCACGCATTTTAACACCGATTGTCGCTCACGAGCAAAAACCTTCGGGGCAAAAGAGAAAGAGAACATAGTAGGGTGACGGTAAAGAGAGGGGGATACAGTGGAAAGGAATAGAGGCAAGAAGCACTTCCCCCACCACTTTCTCCACGAGAGAAGACAAGGTAAACCAAGCGAGAAAAGGACAGAGCATTAGGATCAAGCTCACGACAAATCCTAAATGTATCACAACGAAAGCGCTTGTCTTCCAACAAATTGCCTCTTTTGCTCATCACCAGTCGTGCAACTTGTCCATAACTAAAAAGCTCGCCCGAGGCAACTTTCTACCAAAGCTCTTTACTTTTTCTTCTATAGTTTCTGCTCTCCTGCCTCATTTCTCTTTCCTTGTCTTCTTTTACCTTTTGTTCCTCCATTGCTTTAAGAGATCACAAAGAGGAGGAAAGCAATGTAAAAAGTATGCCTGCTTCTCGCGCGCGCGCTATGAACGACAACAGCGACACTCGACGGAACAGACGAGAAATATTTTGCGATGCTAATCGTGCCACTTCTCGTGTACCGGTGCCCGCGAATGTGTTTATCCTTTGTTTGTACGGCGTGTTGACTTTGGGTAGGGCAATAATTTTAATCACGGCCCCCGGGAACGACGGGAAGGGCTTCCCTCCGATGGAAACATCGCCTCGGGCGACTTGATCTCCCGCGAACCAGAACTTTTAACGTCATCGGCCGGCCGCGATAACCTCGTCTCTCTTTGATGTCTCTTGAGCACACCGTTGGCCCGTCTCGGAATCCCCGCCACGAGGAAACTTACTTTTTAATTTATGATCAAGGATTTGATAAAGCCTGTTCGACGGTTTCGAAGTAATAAAGATTTTACCGATCTTGTTTCATTTATTCGAAACGGGGAAATGAACATTTAAAATATGAAAGGTAATATACATATATATAATCTTGGGTGGATTTTGATGAAGAATATTTATGCTTGAGAAAATTTAGAAAATATATATGAAAAGAGAAAAAATATTCTCACGAGGCTTTCTGTTTTTTTTTTCAATTTTAGAATTTTTGATATTAAATGTTTTTTATTGAGATATATTTATTGTTGTATTGATAATTACATCGTCAAAATTATTTTCTAGAAAATTTTACGTCATAAAATTATCAATTTCATCTGTTTTCCTTGCATTATATCATATTTTATAATTTCAAGATACAGAATTAGATAATTCAAATTCGATCGTAAATTAACTTCATCGTACACTTTTTTCTTCTCTACTCGCATTAGTTTTGTTCTTTTATCATCGAAAACGATATCGAATTCGAGAGTAGATAGGGTGAAATTCTCTCTAACGATTCTATTACACTCGACCGATATTACTATAATGTTTTGTTCGTTCTCCGCTCTTCCGGAAGAAGGAATCGATGCGTTAAACGACCAACGAGGGGATAATTAGCCAACAGGCAAGGCATTCTGTCACTACGAGAACGTTCACTGTGTTCATTCGTATTACGGATCGATGGACGATCTTCCCTTTTAACAAGACAGAGAAAGAGAATATAGAGATCTGCCCTTTTCGAGAGGGCGCGAAACTGCATAAAGTGCAACTAGAAGAGAGACCACCCCCTTCCATCTTTTTCTCTCACCTTTCTGAAGTGTGAAGTTCACTTCAAGTGTTTGCAAGGAAGAACCTTTTCGCGACATCAGCACGTATCGTGACCCCTCTTCCTTGCCGGAGGAATTTATCGATTGACGGTCTAACAGCCCTCGCGTGTCTTCACCCTCGCTGCATTTTGGCCACCCTGTCTACTATTTCTCTCTTTGTCGTCTGGCTTCTCTTCCTTATTCCCTCTTCTACGTCACGTACGCGCTCTTTCTCTTGTTTTCGGTCACTCTCCACTGAACACTGTCTCACATACGGACATTCCTACGTTATTGTTCTCTCATTATTTCGTCCATTGACTTCCATCGTTGTAATTCTTATTTGCTCTCTTTTGCTTCTGTTCCTTTCATTTCTTTCTACTCTTTTTTATCGTTTTTCAAAACTCTCTTCGAAATTTTTCGCGTATTTATTTTTTATTCTTCCTTTCTCATTTTATGATTGTTAAATTCTTCCACATCTTTTCGTTTTTCCATTTATTTTTATTTTTCAACTTATTATACATATTATATTATGCACAAATAATATAATATCTAGATTTTCTGGCAATGTTTTTATTCACACTTTCAATTTTCAATTTCATTATCGTTGAAGATTTTTTTTCTTAAATTTTCCATATTTTTATTCCTCTTTTTTATTTTATAATTTTTATTAAGTTTCCTTTTATCTTTTCGTTTTTTTTTTTATTTTTCTTATCTTTTTCACAGTTTCTATATAACGTTCCGTTCACTTCTTCATTTTCCAACTTCAATTTTTTCGTCCCTTTTCGAATCACCCTCCGTCGATTTTCCTAGCTTCCTTCCCCTGTCTGCTTCTAGCGTAAGGGTGCGTTCGCACTAAACACTCGCATCCATGGAACCGGAAGGGGCTGGATAGTGATTCTCCTATCCCTCAGCGTTTTATTGCTTCTCTGACTGTCTAGTATCAGGAAAAACAACTGTAATTCAATGATATTGGCCTCTCCATCGTCTTAAATGTTACTTTTATCGGTTTTTATGAGTTTATTTTTATGAGAAGGAATTTAACAAAGATATCGCTTTGCTAGAAAATCAGAAAACAGGAAATATATAATGTACAGATTTGATATTCGAGATCATAAATAAACTATGAATGTTTATGCAAAATTTAAACATTATTCTATAAAAATTTGTACACATGATATGCAAAAAAAGCACAAAATATTTTAATATTTGAAAAATTGTATTCTTTTAATCACATTCATAAAAATTGAGTTTTACACTTGCTTTGCTGAGATAAACAATTGGTTGGTATTTCATTATTATAAAATTAAAAACCTCAAATGAAGCAATTTGGATTTCTCACAATTTAATAATACTTTTTGTGAAATATTTTTCATACTAAATTATTTTGATATTAATATTAATATCATTATATTTACATTTAATATTAATAATAGTGAAAGACCTTAATAAAAATGAAGAAATTCTTATGATTTCAAAAAGATGATATGTATTGCATGGTACATTTGTACAAACCTTGTATATCTAGATGCAATGCAAGTCTCGAGAGACATTCATAAAGTTGTGGTTTATTGTAAGTCAAGTGCGCATCTCGACGTACATTGAAACTCGACTTTCTTGGAAACAAAGACCACACATAGATAAACGTTACTTCACATTACACGTATATTACCAACGCGAAATCATCCTCCTCCTCTCAATTGTGATATTTATTATACTATTGTGGTATCTCGTGCAATTTATCATTTCACGTTTTAAAAGTGGAACAAAGAAGGAAAGGGAAATAATCAAAATGGAATACATTGACAATGCAATGTTTATTACTGCCAATGATGTCTAGAAATTATCGATAATTAACGAGATAGAAATTAATTAAACATGATTTAATTAATATTACGTTAAACAGTCACATTGGTGAAAAAAAATTTTTTAACAATAACAATAAACACTGTTGAGAATGCAATATACGAATTCACGCCTGTTCAACCAGTTAAATAAATAAAAGGCATCGAGTTGAAAACAAATCTCAGTGATAGTCCATTCAATCATAAAACTTCAAATCGTTTAACTTTAATATACCTATTTGCTACATGACACACATCATCCAGTTTCAATTGCAATCGTCACTTAAGCTTCGTTAACGTGCTTCCATCGCATCATGTTGCAAACACACATATATATGCATATGCTATAAAGTTCTCGCTGGAGCTTACCCGGATATCCGGGTTCCTTGGAATTTTTTTTTAATTATGCAACGTTACAATTTGCTAAAGAGATAAAAATAAATTTAATTTCAAAAACGATATATACCCGTGACACGTAATCGTCACAGATTGACAAATAATAATAAAAATATTGTAACAAAATGCTATAATCCTTGTAAAAATTGTAATAATAGAATTTGAAAAATAGAATCCTAATAGATCTTCCGTGTGAATAATAGAAAATATATAATTCCTACGATCTTTGTAAAAAGACTTAATTAAGCACTCGGATATATTTCCAAGTATTGTTAATCCCAATTGTATAATAGATTTCAACAACAGCGAGCATTTCCAATCCCGATCGACAATTTACGATTCATTAATACGTGCCCCTTAGATGCATGGCCGTAACAAAAACAACCGTTACAATTATCCTTGGTCATTTTTGTCGTTGATCGTTCGGCGTCTTGATTAAAACCGGCAAGAAATTGCTATTATGGATGCCTGACAGACGGTGCACCGCCGCTTTCATCCCCTCCCCTCCACCATATCTGTATCTTTCATGTTGCCCCTCTCGTCGTCCAATTCGTAATGTTCGTAGATGTCGAGGGCACTGGGCGATGTCCTTTTTGCAGACAATCTTCAGGGTTTAATTAAGGAACTTGGGCAAGCGGATAAACTCGATGAATGGGGCAAGCGAGTTGGCGTCGAGGGTGCGACAGACGGAGAAGGTACGGGGGTGGTAGGTTGCAAAAGCAATTGGAGAGAGAGAGAGAGAGAGAAAGGCCAGGGTAAAAGAAAGGAAGAGTCAAACGTTCCCGAATGGTCTGGAAATGTGGAAGTGTTCCGATGTAGTACTCGTTGATTCAAAAGTGAGGAGAGATTTAATGAGTTGAGGGGATGATATATGATAGTTTGAAATAGTTTAATTGTTTACAATTGATGATAATTTTTTACTACTGAAAAATGATGAAATGATACTCGTATAAATTGGCAAATTTATATATATATATATAAACAACTAACAATCAGAAATTCTATTTAAAAATCAAAGGAGAAAAATAATTTTGCCAGATCATAAACTCGACAAATTTCTCTTTCATTTTTAAATCCTTCTCACTAAAAACAAAAACGAAAAAAAAAGGGGGGAGGAAAATACTTACTCAAGAAAAATATTTCTCTCTCTCTCTCTCGTTCTTCTTCGACCCTCCTCCGCTTCTGAAACATCCTCTAACTCGACGCACACACAACACGGTGATACTCGGCCAGGCCGAGTCCATACACGCGTCCGCCGAGGTTCACGGCGTTTCTCCTTGTGTACTCGGCTTGAAGAGAGCCGGCTACCGTCCCCGGCCCGGTTGTTAGGGCGCGGAAAACAAATACGCGCGACTCTGTCCGCAAAAGAGAGCGAGAAACGAGAGGACTCGAATCGTCGCCGTTGACGGGGCGCGCTGTGCAGAGGGCGGTAGTGAGACACATTGGGCGAGAGAAAGGAGGGGGAAGGAGGAAGAAAGAAGGAAAGAGAGAGAGAGAGAGAGAAATTCAACACGTGCCGTCCTCCTCCGTCCGCGTTAGCTCTTTCCTATTCTTCTGCCTCGACCAAAAGCTCCTCGAACTTCCAAGCGTTGCGAGGCGCACTCGCGTAACCCCTCAAGTGTTCGTTTCTTTTTCTTCCCATTCCCCCCACTACTTGACTCTGCGAGGTCGGTCGCGAGTCACAAGGAATTGCTGCTGCCGGTCGGTTGAGGGGCGAGTATTTGCATTGGGTAAAATCGACAGTTTCCTCTCGTTCTCTCTTTTCTTTTTCTTTTCTTTTTTTTTTTTTTTTTTTTTTGATCTTTAGTTACAATGGATTAGAGGCTCGTCGAGAGGGCGGTAGCTGCCCTGTCGAGTGGGCGAGTGCCTTGAACGATTCCGTTGAACAACGTAAGCGCGTCGGGTATACGCGTGCCCCCGATGATTTAAAGTGCCGCTATCCGAAAAGCTTAATGACGTCTCGTTGCTTAATGACGACCACGGGCGCGCCTTTGATCTGCTTGCGCGGAGAAAAGGCGTTCGGTTTGCCGGTAATTGTTTTGGGTAAACTGAATGCGATGCTTTGATGCAGGCCTCGACTACGCGATTCAGAACTCGCGTCCCTGTTAATGAGGCAAATCCAGCCGGCGAGTTTTCCCTCTTTCTGGGCCCTTTAACCCTGGGGCCCCTTGTCTACGGGAATCGGGACGACATTGTTTGGAGGCGACGATAATGACTGGGAGAGGTTTTTCGATTCTTTTGTTCTTTTTTTTTTTTTTTTTTTTCTCCCTTCTCGATGATGATGAACACTGTTATAAAATTTTTTGTTATTTAGATTTATCCAGTGTTTTATATCCGTTATATACGAGCAGGAATAAAATGGAGTATTGGTTTGATCTTCGATCTTTCATTGGTGGATTCCTTTTTAATTTTTGTATGGATATTAAAAAAAAGGAAAGGAAAAAAGAATTGTTTTTTGGAATCCACGTTAACAATAGAAAAGAAAATTCGATAAATAATTTGTATAAGTATAATATATAAAATCTTTGATCCGTGATAAATTTGTTTATAGAAAAAAAAAAAAAAAGAAAAATTATCCATCGTTAAATTTATCCATATTTTGATTTCATTTGTCTCCTTTTTCATTCGATAGCATTTCAAAATGCATTAATACGTACGTTTCAAGTATATTTTCCCCGCAATCGTTTTCAACCGCACCGAGTTTCGATATAATTGTCCGCGATGCGCCGAGACAAATCGTCACCGGTGTGACGAATATTTTTGCGCATTTATACACGCAATTTTTACCTGTTGTTGTAAACAGGCGTGTTGGCGTTGGATCGCTTTGATAAACACCGCCGAGCATTTCGAATGTTTGCGAAGAACAATTTTCAACAAACGTTCGATAACAAGCAAACATCGTTCGCTAAGAAGCGTTGTTATTATTGTTTGTCGTTTACAACACTTTCACCAATCGCCCATCTCCAAATTATTAGGCAATCGATTAATTTAATCGAGCAACGATGTTTTGTACAAACACGCGTAAATTGCCCAATTTACAAGATGGCAATGTTTGAATAATGAATCGGAGGCGTTAAAAATTCTGAGAGTTCGACAAAATTACATGTTACATTATATAAAATGATGATTAACCGTTCAAATAATAATACGTTACTTTATTTGACTGACCAAATAATTTTCCGTTTACTCGAACTCGGGTAAATAAAATTTTTGCCAGAAATTATTTTATTATTCCAATATTATTTAATTGCGTGACAAATTATAGATTTATCAGCAATCTCTCTGAATAATGTGTATTAGCCGTAAGAAAGTTGCGGCTAAGATTATGTACTATTTGAACGACGTAATTGAAACGAAGAATTATCTATCTTTATCTTATCACAAAATAAATTTACTCTTCCACTTTCGTTATTTATAAACTGTAAAAGATAATAAAATCGTATAAACAATTTATTCCTTATAATTCTTATCATTCCATCTATATCTCGAATGAAACACGGCCAAACACTGTGCAAACAACTGTGTAGTTTAACGCGATTTCGAAATATTGTTTGTACTTTATCCCCGTTTCGGCCGGCAAAAAACCACGTTTAATATCGATACAGGGAAGCGTGGGTGTTTCTAATATCAAGATACAAGAGTTATATGTGCGACAGTTCGAAGGGCGTGGGCAAACATACATATTTTTACGGATCTATCTTCATATCGGAATTGCACGAGGACCGAGCAAATACTGGTCGTTCACTGTTATGACGTGTATTAATCGACCAAGATAAATATTGCTCTCCCTTACGTTGTTTTTTTCCTCGCCATCCCGGCCCTCGATTTTCTCCAAATCCCATGAATAGTATATTTTTTTTTAAACGCTCGCTGAATCCACCAATTTGATTTTTTTTTTTCCAACGGATTTTCAACGCTGCCTCTGCCTTTTTTTTTTTAAATTTCTATATATATATATATTTTTTTTTCTCTCTCGAAAGATAGCCCAAGCATCGACGTAATCTATTAAACATGGAAAATGAACGGTTATTAAAATTTTTTAATCTTTACGTTTGATTTTGTCACATTCCAAAATCATTCGTGCTTCTTCCGATTTGGGTTAATAAAAAATTAATAAACGCGTAAATAGTTTTCTCGGCTTCGAAATTTATATGAACGAGAATCCTGTTGTTAAGAGTGAGACAAGATCAAATTCGAGCAAATTACTCGAATTACGTGACAAATTCTGCGCAATATGGAAAAAAGGTCAGAGATCAAACGAGTCAGCAGCCTCGTCTCCCCTTTCTGCTCTCGACGAGCCCCGCCGCCATGCTTGTTCATCGAATCCGTTCAATTCGATCGACTTTGATCGCGCGCCACTCGACGCTTCGAGGGTGGTTAAGTGACCAGCCTAGGAACGACGCTAGTCAAATCCACTTAAGAAGAGAACAACGAGAAATTGCTTGGATGCAGTAATCCCTTGAAACCTGCGATGTCCACAGATTGAAACAGTGAAGAAGCGATCACTCGTGGGACAAGATCTGCCTCTTATCGCTTGGTATTTTTTTAAGGTAAATAAATACTTGCGTTTAAGAATAAAACTCTCGAAAGTTGCTCTGGTATTCTCGATACTACTAGTAAAGTTAATTGTTCATTGGCAAGAAATATAATTCTAACAATTCCAAAAGGGGTTCTTGAAAAATGGTGGGGATAATGGTATAAAGTTATGTAATTGAAAATATCAATTCGAGAGAGCTGAATGCTCAAAGGTAGATTACACTTTTAAAAAATTGTAAATCTACCTTAACGGATGGAAATACAAGATATCATATCGAATTTAATCATTTTTCATTTTTCATTAATCATATCGAAGATTTATTTTCGATATGTACTCTCTCAAGTAGAATAAGTGCCCTAATAATTATAAACCCAGTCAAAAATTACTTACGAAAAATATCCTCGACTTTGTAAACGCAGATTTTGCGCTCCAACAATTGTAAACCCACCTTGACGAGGATATCGACGAGGCATGATCATTATCAGTCACCACGAGAAGGCGTCCACCATCGACCTAGAAATCTCCGAAAAAAAAGGAGGGAAGAAAAGGAAAGTGTGGCATTCGTCCCAAGAGAGATGATCGAAAGGCGCGTTTACATTGTGTTTGCGCGAGGGCGGAGCGTGGCCGACGTTTATCTCGCCACGGACGCAACAAAGGCCAATAATGAGAACATGTGTTGGATGCAGGAAGCTTCATTAGCGAACCTGTTCCTGTCCGCGAGGCCCATTGTGCAAGACCTAACTCTGCCTGCCGCGATACGACAGTCTCTCGTAGTTGCGTTGACGCCCGATTCTTTGCTTCTCCATATTGCCGCCGGGTATTAGTTACCGGCAGCAAACATGAATTCCTAATTGCGGAAATGGGGCCCCGATGATCGTTACCCCCACGACCGCTCTCCATCGCTCTCGTGACCTGACGATTCGGCTTGCTTTCCAACTGTCGGCTGCAAATAGCGCGATATTGAGCCTTGCTGGCGAATAACCAGTCCCCCCCTCCCAACGAGGCTTTTACGGTCACGTGATGAACGGTCGAGTCGGGACGGAGAATCCTCGCGAAGGAATAACCTGCGAATAAATTTTCTTTGAGCGGAGTTTTAAGTTTTTCGACTTGACTTTTTCTTTAAGATTTTGATGGTGGATGGTGGATATTTTCGATCGAGTAAAGGATAGAGGAAGGAAGATGATTATTCTTTGAGACAAGGTAAGATATAAGGAAGTTATTGATACGGATTAGACTAGGAGTTTAGGTTAGTTTGGTTAGCTTTTGGCGACGGTGATGATTAATACTTGTGGCGCGATTCTCTAATCGTGTTATAAATAGTGTTTTGAAATAGTAAGTTCTGGTTGTTCTGTTAACGAAAGTTTGTAAGATTGAATTATTATATATATTTATGACTTCAAATATGAGTAATATGAATGCAACGATCCGCGTATCGTTAAGCGTAGACCTTGGATAAATATAAACTGAATGATCGTGTCATTTAAATATGAGTCATTATCACTTTCGACTTCCTGCGACTGATAAAATAACGTCAAATTATTCATTCATTAATCAAATTGTTGTATTAATGTGTAGAACAGTATATAGTAATTTAAGATTGATTAGGCAAAGAAATATCTTTGTCTAAATAAATAATAATATTTTTATATACCAATTTTTCTATTTGTTTTAGCTTCTCCAAAGGTAAAGTTCAATATATTAACATCCTGTAGCCTTGTACGTTTATCAATAAACGTTCTTTTTTTTTTTAATTCCTTTTCAACTCTATTTTCATCGTAATATACTTAATCTAATCTATTTTATTTATTTGCAGCCTGCGGCGGGGTCCGGGAGCTAATGTGCAAGATGCCAGTGGTTATTCAGCCCTTCATCATGCAGCTTTGAACGGACACAAGTACGTTTCGAAAATTTCAAGAAAAAAAAAAAAAAAATTCCATAAAAAGTTTCTTCGATGTAAGAAATTTATCTTAGAAGCCGCGTTTCTCATTAATATACTCTCTTGATTGACGATTAATCGATGTCGCGCAAATTGTGACGATAATTCGGGGAAAACGCTTTCATCCTCAGGGAGGTGGTAAAGTTATTGCTCCAATATGAGGCTTCCACTAACGTCGTCGACGCTAAAGGCTCTTCTCCGCTTCATTTGGCAGCTTGGGCGGGCGACGCTGAAATCGTGCGGTTAATTCTTACCCAAGGACCCTCCGTACCTAAAGTGAATCTTACGGTCAGTAAATTTATTCTTTTTCTTTTTTTTTTTTTTTCTTCTTTTATTCTTTTTCTTCCTCTCCTTTTCTTCGGTCAAGTAAAAATATTCCCGCGATTTTTATCGTATCGCTTCAACACCTTATATATTTTAATCGTTTTATAATTCATTGCAAATGAACAACGATGAAAAATTCCTAAAAAAAAAAGATAGAGTCGCATTAATTATTAATGAAGTGAAATTAATTACGGGATACAAAAAATTTTTGTTGTTGGGATCGTTGCAATATTTATCAATTTAACACGTACGATCTTACGATCTGTGTGAAGCTTAATAATAATGCTCTGCCCATATCCCTTCGTCTCGTTTGTTTTACACGCTGTATAAATTAAGACATTTAATCGAAACGAAAAACGTATGCTGGAAATACGTTTGCCTGTGTGATCGTAGACGAAGGACAACGAAACAGCGTTGCACTGTGCGGCACAGTATGGGCACACGGAAGTGGTGGCACAGCTGCTGCAATACGGATGCGACCCCAGCATCCGCAACAGCCGGGGAGAATCCGCGCTGGATCTCGCCGCACAATATGGCAGGTAAATTTCACGTGCGACTTTTTTTTGCCAATTCTCTCTCTCTCTCTCTCTCTCTCTCCTTCTTCGTATTTAAAATTCGCCCATAATTTCGAGAATTCGAGTTTCGAACTCGATTGAAATTCGAGGAATCTTTCAATCGGGGGAAACTGAAACTGCACGCGCATAATTGATCGTCGCGACTGAATAATCGATGACATTGCTAATTGGCTTTGTGCTTCTTCTGTAAAATTAATTATCCTTTATAGGTTGGAAACCGTGCATTTGCTCGTTAGCACGTATCCAGAACTGATCGTGCCCCTCCGGAATTCTTCCTCGTCGGTGATTTTTCCTCACACACCGCTGCATCTGGCTTCGCGAAATGGTCACAGGTGAGTCTTTGTGAACGCGTATATGTACGTATGTATATATATATATATATATATATATATTTTACGCGTTTTTTTATATGTATGGTTTTTTTTATTTTATTTTCGGTAAATTGTTATTTCAAGTTATGAAAAATCAATTATCGTCTCGTTTCGAATGCATTTATTCAAAATTATACGTACAGGATATGAATATATATATATATATGTATAAAAGAAACGAAAAAATAATTTTATAGATACTTTTCAAATATCGTAGTAAAAAAGGTTCACTTTAGATGCAAATTTTTTAGTTAAAAATTCGATGCTAATTGTCTTTATATCTTTATATATCACAATTTTGTATCGAATAAAAAATAATCATTTCTTAACAATTAACAAACCGAAATAATTGTTGAATTAATTAATTTTTTTAATTGATAATTAAAAAAAATTATTAATGATATCATTAATATGGTATTGTAAGCATGTAATAATCTACTTGGAAAAAATATTTCATTTATCAATTTTAATTGATAAAAACAACTTAGTTAATTTAACGTCCATCTTGTCATTAGAATTCTTTTCTTTCGTTTTATAAAATATTCGTCTAAAACTTCGTTTGAGTCAATTTTAGTTTTCCTTTACTTATTGTATCCAATAACCATTAATGTTATTAATTAAATTGCGAATATTTGTATATTCCCTACAAAAATATATAAAATATATTTTCAACCAAGATATCCATCATTTAGATCGACTTTAAACATTTAAACACCATCAGTTTACAATCAATCTAACGTTTATTCGAGAAAAATATTTCATTTATTTCTTATCTCGCAAATTCTATCAAACAAATTCTTCCGTGCACGTCGATCTAACGCGTATCATTAAAATTCTTTTCTCTCGTTTTGCCCTCCCCCCCAAAAAAATATCACGTGAAATTCCGTTTGACAATCTCAAGTTTCGTTACGGATCGTAAAGCCTGTCCAATAACCAGTCAGGATCGTTCACCGGTAACACGCTCTCTTTATTTAATCAAGCTGAGTCGATGATCGTCGCACGGCGTTTGATCAACACGCGAGGGTGACAGTATGAGCGCGCGCGCATTTACAGCCGCTGTCCATGAAATCTATTTTATATTGCATTGCAGATCAGGATCGTGTTAGATTATTCATGATTCGTGGAACCCTGCCGGGGATTGTGTACACGCTTGGCCTCCAAGCGCGTACACGCGTCACACGATTAATTTTCGCTCCACGTGTGTGCCATCTAAAGAAAAGAACGTTCAATTCTTCTCGTAGATGCGTTTTCTACGTTTCTTCGTCCCTTTATTTTTTTTTTGCAAAGATTGTCCCCGTCGAGGATCAATTTGTTTCTGGATTTTTTGTTCGTAATGTTGATGAAGAGGGGGTAGTTTTTTTTTTTATGAAATTTAGAATGAAACATATCGAAGTTGAATAAAGATTAATTGAGTTACACATTTTTTTTTAGGTAAGATTATTTAAGGTTCGTTAAGGTTCGAGATGAAATATTTTGGATGTTAAATCTGTCAAAAGGTCGGAGGATTTCTTTATTTTGAACAAGATTTTTTGTTGTAAGAAATATAATATGGGAGTGTATAATATTAGTAGTTAATAAATCATAATCATCGTAACTAGGTGTCTGAAATTAATCTTATTAATGTGGCCCGTGAATAAATCTCTGATGAATAAATCAATTCTGATGAAATCGGTACATATATCTGAAATTGGAACACGGATAATTGCGATTGTGTCATCGTTTCGATTATATTATTAATTTATCTAAAACAATCATCAAATATTTAACAGATCATTAAATATTGATCCAAACTACTGAACGTAGACAGAACATTTCTCTCTATCTTGTTGTTGTAAAGTTCCATATGAAATTAAAATCCATAATTTGTACAAAATTATCGTTACAAAACCAAATCTTGCCAAACATTCAACTGAAATAATAGATCAAACATAATAAAAAAAAAAACACAAAAATAATTATCATCGATTATCATTATCCTCCACTCGAAATTTTTGCATTCATAACATTTAAATCGATCCTCCATATCCCACGATTATCTACAAACATCAACACGTACAAATTCCAACTTTCTCAAATCCTTTCCTCGATTTCTCAAAATTTCCACTTTTTAATTCCACATCTTCTTCCACCATTTTCAGCAACACTTTTTTTTCCTTTCTTTCTTCCGAAAGAAGAACTGTTCGCGCTAATTATCGAGTAATATAGTACTCGACTCATTGTATCCCGGCACAACAATAGAGTCGTTTCGCCTAAGCATAACGATGTCGAACCATTTGCAGCGTTGCCCATTAGCCAATCAGAGAGCACCACGTTGCGTAATCCCGTCGAATACGATATGTATGTATGTATTACGTCCTGGCATGATCCGTCGCAACCCTCTCTCGGTAACGCACGTCCCATATTACCGATCGAGCCCGGGTCTCTCCTCCTCGTCCGGCCGAATCTCCGATCGAATGGATCCGCGGAGGCCAACAGACATCCCTCTCTGACCGTCCATGCGTGTTCCATAGCCGCCCTTCGATTACCAGAGGATCGTATTAATCGTTACCTTCGAAACGTATCGACCTAGATCGGTTTGCTGGATCGTGATTGCTCGCAGGATGTTTAATGCCCCCTTTATGCACCAAGGTGTTCTGACGCTTCGATAACTGTTCACCAACATTGACGCGCTCCTCCCTTTTGAAGGGATTTGCAGTGTCTTCGTACCGTTTGCCGTGCGGTGGTCGAACAATGCGAGTTGGGAAATGGTATTGGATCTTTTGTCCGGCGTGTGATTTGGTGGCTGGGCGTGTCGTTAGCTGGAAATTGAAGTAATGTGTTAATAGCGATTATTTTTTTTTTTTTTGAGGGAGAATAGAGAAGAAAGAAATGTCCAAGATATTTTTGTGCAGTTACAGTTTGGAGAGTTATCGAATGGATTGATACGTTTGTTGGAAGAAAATTGAGCACAACTTTTTTGGAACGTAGGATGAGATGCATAGAATAAAAATTGAATAAAATAAAATCGATTACGTTGCGAGAATTCTTAAGTCCGAATCATTGGATCATTAAAAAAATGAAACGATAATTTTCTTGTTCGAGTGAATATAAATCTTCCATTCTAAATTCGACGAAGAATTAAATACATTCGGTTTAAAAGAATGGACAAACGTACATTTTTTAATCACAATTTGAAGAACAATTTCACAAAGAAAAGAGGAGAGGACAATATTCTTTTCGGGTCATTTTCCACAAATACACCGCACACCCTCTCCCTCGTATTCACGATTCTCTACACAGCGTGGTATGTATCCAGTGTAAATTTTGAAAGGGTACGCGTGGAACGGATATTTTTGACAAAGCGTGAATTTCGAAAACGTAAATTGTGTGACAGCGAGCGATTTACCTCGTGGGAGAAGAGGGACGTGGAAAAAAATAAGCGATACGCCCGTGTCACGGCACGGTGAAACGTGAACGAGAGAGATTCGTGCGTTGTTTTCGCAATGGCGCACCCAATGCGCCTCCATAAAGAAAAATAGTCATCCCTCCACTCCCCCCTTTCCAAAAATATGGGCGCCCCCTCCCTCCGTTCCCATCGTTCGATCGATTTACTAGCATTTACACAAATAATTGGTGATTGTTGCATCGCGCAGCAAAAATGTTCAGTTAAATAAACGATATTGTAAGCACGAGCCTTCGTTATTTGATTAATCGAACCGTTCAATCGGATGATGCAAGATTAACCGGATAATCGGTTACACCGATCCTGTACAATTAAATAACGAAAATGAATTTCGGGATATACACGCGCTCGAAACAATTCTTTGAAACGCGGCTATTTGCACGCGTTTCCATTTTATTTTTATTTTTTATTTTTTTATTTTTTTCATTCTCTTTTTCTCCCTCGTTTTTTTTTCTTCTCCTCCCTCCTCCTCCACCAGCCAACTCTTTTTTTTTTTTTTTTTCCCAACGATGTATTTCCATCGTTTTATAGCGAGAAGCTGGACGCGATGCCAACCGGTTTATTATTTCCAGTTTGTCATCGAACGGTTCGTTGATTTAAAATATCCAAACAGTCGTAAATAACATTTGATGGAGGTATGAAGGGAAATATTTGTGTAAAATTGACATGATAGTAGACAGGGAAAAATGACAAAAAAAAAATTGATGTGTAAACTTTTTTTTCTTTTTTTTATTTTATTTTTTTTTTTTTAATATCCCCTTATGACGTAAATGTTTGTCCCCCTACACGCGTATTTTTTCTGTCACGGTTAAGTGAATTTCGATTGGGGAAAAAAAAAAAATTATCTAGAACTAGAATATATATATATATATCTTAAACAAGAGAAACGGAGAGAAAAGTAATTCTCGTTTTCTATACGATCCAACATTTTTCACAATTGAAACAAAAGATTTAAAAAGAAACCAGAGTAACTTTTTTCTCAATACAAGTATCTATCTCTACTTGTTGAATAAAAATCAACTCATTTCCACTCATGTCCACAGAACACGTTCAAAAAGAAACAAATAACATCTAACGTTTTCACCTTTCTTTGTTAACACAAAAATTAAACGATTCAAAATTTCTTTCTTCTTCCTACAAAAAAAAAAAAAAAAATCGGCAATGGTTTCTTCCTCTAACTTATATTAATATATTAATCTTCCTACATTCCGAAAAAGAAAGCACGTTCGAAAATTGGCGGAAATCGTGTCCAACCCTGTCGAAGAATCATCGATACGATCGTTTCGAATCGGGCGTTGAATAAAGAAGAGCGCTGGAAGCGCAGGGAAAGGGAGGGGATAGTAGCATTTAACGCTTTGCTCGGCCAATTCATTCTCATTTAACATCGCGGCGTCACGTCCATAATCCGGCTGGTAAGCCTTTAAAATAATCGACGGTTGTAGGTGGGACGGATCGAAAATCGTTCGTTTCGAATCGCCGCGAAACGGGCAGTCACATTGTAATCGGGTATAACGTCGGTTTTTCTATGCAGCCTTGCAGCCGATAATCGCTTTAACTGGCGCTGCCCGCTTATAATGCGATCGCGTCGCGATACACAGCCCGATGAATGCATTTTCCGTCGCCTCCTCCCGCACTCCCCTCCTCTTTTCCCACCGCCCCTTCCTCTGGGGAAAACTGGTCGATCTTTGTACCTCGTCCTCGACTTTTCCTCGTCGATCTAGATTTCAGGTGAAATACGGGACGAGCGATCGATTTATTGGCCGAATTTCTTTTAAGAATGCCCTCGAATTTTGGTAATCTTTAAACGTAGGAGAAGGAATCGGAAATTTAATTTTAAAAAGAAACGTATATCAAAAAAATTTGATATACTTTGAAAAATTGGAAAGACTTTTTAAGAATAATTGTTTTTCATTCTTTGATCAAGATTCGATCAAATGTTTAATTTTTCTTGGTCCAAAGATTGAGCCAACGCTTGAGCCAACGTTTATAACCGACGTTATATTATATCTACGTATAACGTTACACCCTAAATATTTATTAACCTTTAAAATTTAAAATTCTCGAAATTTCCGTTCTCTCAAAATTCTCAGAATATTATATGATATTCTTGCAATTAAAAAAAAAAAAAAGAAAAGAGGAACATCAAAGGCGCGGAACGGAAACATTTATCCAATACCGTTTAGAACAAAGTCACGTCGAAGGATGACAGGTGACGGCCACCGCATACGTGACAACGTATCCGTTAAAATGTTAAATAGGCACGTGAACACTATCTCTCGTTGACACACGGCCGTGCGGCATTTCGATGAGGGACGCGTGTACACACGCGCCACGTAGCACGCGCGAACCGCGAGCGCGTTGTGCAAAGCACGCTATTGCGTGAATTTGCCACGCGGCCGTATCCCACCGTGGCAAATTCGGGACTGAACGTGTCGAGGGAACGCGTGAAAGGCGAATATTGCTTGCTTTGATAAACTGTTTGTTGTGGACCGGGGGAACGAGGTTTGGGAAGGATTGTTGATACTTTTCTCTCAACGCAGGCGTTCGTCTTTTCGATGGAATTAATTTACTGAATCTCAGATATGTATTTCAATCGTTTACTTTTCGATCTTCGTTACATAATTGCGAAATTTTAGTTAAAAAAGATTCGTTCAAAATGTCGATATGAAAATTATGTAAAACGCTAACGTTAAATTATGGAGCTCGGAAGCGATATTTTTTTCTTGGAAATGCAGATTTGCACGTGTTCTTCCAGGAATCGCATTCATCATTTGCGTGGACTTTGGAAAAAGATGGTGATTAAAAATTACCTCTTTCTTTGCACGACGATATTTCGGGAATCGTCGTATAAATGAAAACCCGTTCCACGTTTCTTAGGATCATTGATCGAGAATCATATTTTCGAAGTTGTAGCGGTCCGAATTTTCCCCAATTTTAATACGATCCAATCAAAAATTTATCCTAAAATATATTCGTTCCTAAGATATAATATCGCTTACAACGATCTTGTTAATAATACACCGAGAAATATCCATTCAAACTTTCCCTCGATTAATAATTCTTGAATTATTACGTAACACGAAGCCTTCAACTATATCCCAACAAGAATCACCTTATTCCACCCTTATCCCCGCCGATCGGACCTCGTCGCGCTGATTAGGTTGGAAAATCTGCCCGATGGACAATCTCCACGATGATCAAACAGCACACCATCTATATATATATACGTGTGTACAGGCATTTTGACTGTTTGGACAGGCGCGAATCCACGGTAGGAAGCAGCCAGAGCCCTCTGTTGGCGCGCTCTGTGCACGATCGCTGTGTACGCTCGTTTTCGGTGTCGTGCATCGAAGCTCCCCGGCCTTCCCTGCACACCGTGCACACCCGAGTATCGAAACGTAACGTCGGGATTCGGTTGTGTAGTATACCAATGCACACACACCGGTGATGATTGCGTTCACGCACGCGTTTCACGCGCCCCGCCGCGATATTTGGCGGATCTGGCGGTTCCGTGGGCGGCGTTACGTGGGCGGGAGCGGGACAAAGGGAAGGCGCGACAGAGTGGGGAGGGGGAGGGGGGCGTAGGGTTCGAGAAGGGATCGGGAACGGGGCAGAAGTAATGTCTATTATCGGATTCAATATCGGTGCTCTTGGTAAGCCAGTATACAAATACCCCTATGGCACGGTAATAACAACATAGGTGCACGTGAATCCGATTCCCAGCCACGAATCCTATATGCGACGGATGGCTGCGGTCACTGCAGTCGGTGCACACCCGACCGACGGATACAAAACGAAATCTGGGTTTCGTGATACACGGTGGCGGCGGCGGTGGTGGTGGTGGTGGTATCGAAATGGGAAATGCGTGCAAGCGGGCCACTTTCAGCTGACGTCGGTGATCCGCGGACCCACGGGTGGGGGGAGGTCTCGTAGGAAACCATCGATGGTCGTCATCGATGGCTTTCGGGGAACCGTTGTTGCACGCCTTCTACTTCTAATTTTGATTTGTTAATTTAAGATTACTAAGTATTGCTATGGAACTATGTTTATGGAAACAACGCGTGTGTTGTATTATGTCGGGCACCAGATATTGGATGAAATTTCTGGGGGGAGGGGAGGGTTGTTGAGACAAGATTGTTGGTTGATTCGTACTCGTATTGATTAAATTTTTATGTGGATCGAGCGGGAATGAGAAAGTTGACGCATCAGAGGATAAAATTTAGAATGTTCAAGGTAGTTCAAATCGAATGAAATCTACGTAAAAATGAAAGTGTATCGTTGATACGCACAATAATCGTATTCGTTGAATGTAATAAAATTTCGCGGAAATTAATCAACGTTCAAATTATGAAGGACATGCGGTATCGTATATAATTAACTTACACGTTACGTTTTAAAAAATTTACCTTGATTTCCGCCATTATTATCCATAGCAAGAAATGTTTCACACGATTCTGATGATGATCTAGTTTTTTCTTAGAATACATATGAAAAATCATTCTTTAAATGAGATCATACATTATTTACCAATTGCTTGATATACCAATTTGATATTCTCTAATAAATAAAAAAAAGTATCAATCTACTTATATCGAAAAACCATTAATCTAGAGAAGATATTTTAACTTGAAGTTGGTAAAATTTACCATACAGACAAGAAACGAGAAAAAACGTGTCGTAAAAAATTTCACTCGCTCTCATTACTTACAAACGTCAACCGTATATATATATTTTTCACCTGTTTCGTCCAAAAACAGTTTCACGTTTTCTCGTCCATCTACAAAAAAAAAAAAGCATCTGGTCATAATTCAATCCGAAAAGAAAAAAAAGAACAAAATAGGCAAAAAAGGAAAATACACCTGTCGGTTTCAGAGCTGTGGTGGAGGTGTTGCTGGCGGCGGGCGTCGACGTGAACACGAGGACGTCCGCGGGAACCGCGATGCACGAGGCGGCACTCTGCGGCAAGATGGAAGTGGTGCGGGCACTCCTGGACAGAGGGGTCGACCTGGGCATCCGGGACTCGCGACAGAACACGGTGCTCGATCTTCTGGGACAGTTCCCGCCGCACGTCACTCAGGACATCACCGCCGTGATAAAAAGTGCGTATCCGACCTCGTCTCTCTCTCTCTCTCTTTCTCGCCTCATGCACGTCCCGAGCAAACGAGCTGTGCAATTAACGAGACGTATATCTGGTGGAGAAAAACGACGTGTCTCTCGGCGAGCTGTCATAAGTGTATAACCGAGCCGATTGCCCCGATACCGGCTAACGTCCCCTCGAAAAATTTGTCGGAACGGTTTGCATGAGCGAGCATCGAGCGATAAGATTTCGCACGATGGCATGTTGAACCTTGTTAACGCCGAGGAACGCTTTCGTATTGGTCGTAAATTGATGTTCGCCCGTTTGTTATTAGAACTTGTTAGAATTATCGTATCACCAAGTCTTTGGATTTGATTTAGAAATATAATTGTATAATCGCAATTGTTTTCGCGATGATACTTTGAATTTAGCGTATTGCTCGTTGATTGATTTCCAATCTGAAAAAAATATAAATTTCTATAGTATGAATAGAAAATTAGAGATTACGTTTATGAATGAATATATAAATTTCTTACGATTCTTTCAATTATAACGAATCAAATTTTCACGCGAAAAATTATAAATTAGGAGGAAACGAAATTCTTCCTATGATGTTGTCTCTCTGTTAATTGCGCCATTAATGGATCATCTTCCATCCAATGATGATCCATCATTCTTCCTAACCATTCGATCATCATCTTCGCACTCGAATAACTTAAATAAGAAGAATGAACGGTTCAAATTGCAACTTAACGGTAAAATGAATAATCGACGGATGAAATATGCAGGGCACAGATCTTCCTCTGGCGTGGAGAGCGATGCCGACAGCGAGAACTTGCCACCGATTCCGGTCCAAGGGAACGATTCATTGGGCAGCCCTTACGAGAACGTTCGCCCAGGGGATGATCTCTCCCCGGCGGAAGGGACATCGCCCACTCAATGGCAGTTCTATCACAAGCCTCGGGACGATGATCGCCGTGTTTCCGGCACTTCCGTTATGTCTTTGTGAGTATCGTGTCGCCCCTTTCCTCCCTTTAACACTGCCTCGTGACTATCGCCGTTGCTTTCCATGTACGTTCCCTTTTTTTTCTCTCTTCTTCCCGCCATGTAAAATTTCGTTATTGCGCGATCCAAGCTGCGAGGAATATAAACGAATTCGATAAGTGTTCGAAAAACTTTGCTTAAAATTAAAATTTTTACATAAATCGTGAATTCTCTCTCTCTCTCTCTCCTCCCCCTCCTCTCTCTCTC